TTCACTGAAAGAGTCATACCACTGCCTGGAGGGGGAGACGTGGAAGCGGACAACACATGACCCGCCGGCTTAAAAGCATCGCCACGTACTGCGGGCTTTGACACTCACGCACAATGCGCACAGAAGGTATCGCAGAAACGGTTCTTTTCCGAGTCCGACGGTAAGAAGATCTATCGGACAGACACGGGGACGGCTATAGAATCCGCTTGACTCCGCGTTTCAGACAAGTGCGCCCTGTTCAGTGTCGGCAACCCATGATAGCTATAGGTCTGATGCATACAGTGCTGTCGCATAAGACGGCCTAGACCAAACCGGGGTCGGACTCACCTCGCGATCATTGGTGTTGGATCACGGAAATAACAGCTGGAGGGCGTCGTGGCTTCTATCATATCGATAACAAGTCCGGTGACGTGCGGGAGTACCAGTCAGTCTGGCAGATTTGCTTCTGGTCCGTGAGTATATGCGATGTAAGGTCCGCGTACTCTACAGTGCCGACTACAATGAAAGCCTGGAGAGCGTGACAACGCCGACGCCAGTGACGATCGAAGTTCGGGTCTGCAAGATGAGCACTACGACCCATCATAAGGGTAGTCTAGTCACTACAGTGAGTTTTCGGAACGAAGCTGATCATGGAGGTTCGTAAATGGAGGGTTGAACGTGTGCACCGTCACGCGGGTCGTGCACCGGATCAGCAGCCGGGCACTTGCTAATCAAGAGCATTCTGTCTCCCGACCACCATCCCCTTCGTTGTCAATCCGCTATCCTTGTCGCCTTATACTACATAACACTATGACAAGACTCGTTCCAAATATACAAAGCGAAGCTCTTCTTGACCGCTATGCGGACACTTGGCCAGAAGCGTTGACGAGTCGCCGGAAGATGAAGCTTCTGCTCAACAATGCGGCGGCGTGGGTCGCCGCGAAGTACGGAGTCAGCGATCCATGGAGAACGCTGGATGCGGATAACTCTGCGCCAAACACAAAGCTCGTTGCGAGGCTGGTTGACCTCTTATGGGACGGGCCCTCGGATGAGCGCGAGCGGAACTTGCGTGAATCTTTGCTAGCAATTCGAGAGGCGAGTTCTGTTGCACACATGTCCATACTATGTCTCTCCCTGACTGATGAGTTGTAGACCGTCTTTCAGACGTTGCGGATGACCAGCAGACACCCGTAAAATCATTGGTCTCAAGCGCATTGTGGCGTGTACTGGACAGACGATTAGTGGACAAGGTCTCAGCTTGCGATGGTATAGACTTTCCTGCTACACGCTCTGGTGTCGTTATGCCATATGATCATGCCGTACCATTGTTCTCAAACCCTCATCGACAGTATGCGTCTGATCGATACCTCGCCAGTGGCCTATGTCTTGTTCTTGCCTTCATTCCACAGAAGTTGCTCTGCATTCTCCGGCTCTAGTGTAGTTTGCGGTCGCCTTCTCATGTTCCAACAGAGTGTGGCTTCTTCGATCCTCGATCGCTGCCTTGTCGGAGACTCACCGGGAAGTATTACATGCCGTGCCCTAGCATGCTCGCTCGCCGCGATACCAAGCACGGAACAGGATGTAAACTTGAGCTCTGCACTCCATATCGCCGCATTAAGTAGCCAGAAGGGCATTGAATTGATCAGTGGTCGATGTATGCGGAATCGTTGCGCGCGGCAAACTGAACAGGTTATGAGAAGACAAACTGAACTAGAGCGTTGGACTCCGTCAGCAGAAACCGAGCTCGTTCCTGCTCTGTATTGCCTGAGTTGCGCGCGACACTCATATCCTCGACAGACTTCGAGGAAGGTCCAGTTCGTTGGGCATATGCGATGAACCGGCCGATGTAGGCGCTTACTGCCCCCGCGCCTAGTACCGGTAAGCATGTCAGCTCGACCAAGCTTGCAATAAGGACCATACTTCCACGTACACTTGCTGCGTACTTGTCGTAGGGTTGACTTCAGGCATGTTCCGGGGCTCGGAGAACCCGGCTTAAGGCAAACGAATCCCTTCATCGGACCGGGCACGTATTCTTGGAAGGGCTCCTATCGGCTCACAATTCTTGCTCGAACAGCGTGACGTCCGCTAGGTCGGCCTCCGTTTTTGCCGACTCGCAAAACACGGAATGTTCCGTCTCGGGACACCCCGACCCACAAGTAACAGTGGTAGACGAGCCCATTCGGTAGCGTGTCGGCGAAGAAACTGCGCTAAACGATACTTTAGAAAAGTTCCGAACCCTGCGCACAACAGGCGAAAAGACCTGTGGTCAAATAACAGGCGTTTACCCAAGACAAGGGGATTCGCCAACCTCACAAGGTACGGACTCTCAGTTTTCGTACCAACAACGCCAACAAATCCGAACCAACGGTTCAGCATGCCAATTGACACGGTTTACGGGTTGTCCACATCTCGCGTCCAACCCCACGACTGAACGGCGACATGAACTTCCTCTATTCACACAAAAGGCGGTTCATTGCAGCAAGGGCCAACATCCACACAAGTTGCGTCCCGCCAGCGCGGCAACGCCGGGAAGTCATGACCACTCGGTAAATATACAACATGCACACACGTAGGGTACAACAACGCGGCAAAGCCGGGAAGTCATGACCGTGTGGCGGGTTTCAACAAGGGTGGCCAAGGACGCAAAAATGGGGGCAAGTCGATGTACAGGCGCCGCGGAGGGAAAAGAACATAGGAGAGCTTATCAGCGTGTTGTAGAGCAGGGAAAAGCGTCCACGGAAGGCAGGGGACTCGAAACGGTGATGGCGTCAACGACGGAACGTGGCGGGATGTAAGGCGTAGGCTTGAAGGTGCCGTCGGTCGGAGGGCGAGTTGAGGTCGGTGCGGCCTGCCTATGAGAACGCAGTGGGTTTCCTGCGAGGAGCGTAAGAATCGGCTCGTCAGATAGTAGCGAAGCGGACAGACCTGGTTGTGAGAAGAACTGCTGGTGAGTCTCCGGAAAGGTAGCCGGCTAAGTAACAAGTGTTGCCGGAGGTAGCGCCGCAGAGTACGAGGAGGCCTGAGAATCAATCAAAAATTCTGGCTAGCGGCATACTGGCTCGTCCAGAACCGGTACTGGATCCGGCTACGAGGGCACTCAACATGGCGCGATGGCTAGTGAGACGCTACGGACGTACCTTGCCCGATGTCGAGCACAACGACTTTACGAGAGAGTATAGGAGCCGGCGCATGGCGCTTCATGTCGTACCGCGGAAACAGAGAATAGAGCGAAAAATAACCTGGTTGACCGGGCAGGGGAAGAGGTGGAGAACAAAAGGGAGAGGCAGCGTACGTCATCAGGCATCGATGAACTGACGAAGCTGAGACCACGGTCACGAGGGCGTGTGGCACTTGATGCCGAGCGGACTCGTTGCGTCGAAGGTCAACGAGAGACGAAAGATATATAGTACGGTCAGCGGCAGCAAAATTTAGACAAAGGACGGCGAGATATAAGTACATTGGGCATACATATTCAAAACATATTCAAACCAAATTGAACAGCAAGTCGTTAATCATCATACCCGAGCAAATAGGCCTCCACCTCGTCCTCCGACTCCTTGTCCGAATCCGACTCGACAATAACAAGATCCTATACAGGAGGGTTGAGCAAAGATCACGAGGTCAACGGTAAAACGCACAGGGTTAGGCGGTGGCGACGACGGCATCGGTGGCGGCGACGGCATCGGTGGCGGCGACGGCGGCGGTGGCCACTCCAGCGGCACCATGGAACAAATATCCTTCGTAGTGGGAAGCCTCACGCGAGCAGCCCGTACGAGAGCGGCGTGCTCGCTAAGATCGGGACGTTCGAAGGCCAGCTTGACAATCGTCCGGATCCAGAACCGCCACAAGGACCAGGCCCGTACGGCGCGAGGGCGCTTCACGCGAAGGCGATAGGATTCGGTCTCGCCAATGATAGCGTCGTCGCTCACACCGCTATCCCGGTCAGAGGGCACACACAACGCGCAACGCGACGACAACGCACATAGAGGTCGTAATTCCAACGCGACTACCTAAGAATATAATGTGGACGGCCCTGTCGTTGTCCGCGGGGCCGTTGCGCACACGTTGGTAGAAGGGCGCGAGTTCGTCGGGGTAAGGAACGCTGTCGATGTCGAACTCCACGAGACCGGCGTCGCTGCGCGCGACGAGAAGACGGCCTATATAATAATGCAGGTGTTGAACTATAAAGTAGTTACATACTGTAATTAGACGGACTTGGTATATACACGTACGCTCCATAGTGCAGTCAATAGAGTCGTCAGCGACGGAAGCGATGGCGGACATGGCGGTCAAAAGCAAAGAGTGATTCAAGCTAAAGAAGCGGCGCGCGGTCTTTTATAGTAGGCAAGATACAAGTTCACACGGTCCAAAAGTAAGAAATAAGAGATACGGACGAGGACAGCAGCAAGTGCCACACATCAGGCCGTCACAAGTCGACTTCGCACGCGGGCAATCTTCGGAGTTTGCCGACGGGTGATCGCGGTCCGATCAAAGAATCCCCGGAACCCGCTTTCCGGAAGTACATTCACAAGATCTTGGCAAGCACACAGTCAATTCCCATTCGCGAAAGGCTTAAGTACTCGACGCCGTGTTGTGTTGAGATCGAGACCAGATCAATTCTTGTGTCATGCCGCGGCGCGGCGCGGCGAACCCCGGTTGGGCAGTGCCTCGACAGGTTTTGAGGGCAGGAAACCTAGTCACCTATCAAGCTAGGGATCTAGATAGACTAAATAAACGAGCGCAATGACAGACTAGACGAGACACTGAAACACATAAGGCAACGCAGTTGCGTCGGTTGTTTGATCCCAACCGAGATCATCGAAATTGCGCGGCGCGACGATCCAAACTCTCCGCAGGACGTGCCACACCGCACCTAATTGTAAACGAGATAGCGCGACATGCTGAGCCTGAGGTTATCGTGAGAGTGATGTATCAGCTAGTCAATAGATGAAACGGACCACTGTTGTGTTCTTAATTGTAGATCTCGGCGTACATGTCGGTCAAGCGGGCACACGCGTTAACAGGGCTAAGCGAAGGGTGTTGTAGGTCGAATTGCTTCTGGTCGATCATCAACTACAGTTGGGGCTTCCGGTGTTCCGTACATTGCCATTCCGCATACAATCCCTCCCTGAGATGGACAGATATGAGCCGACCCGCGCGAAGTGAAACAACTCTGAGTCGCCACTTTTGCCATGTCCCCGCCGGCAGTGGGTTCCAAACGCAAGCGCGCGTCATCACCAGCCGAGAAGAGATCTCCCGCACCTCCTGACGAGGAACCCCCTGCTCGCAAGCGGCGTATAATGCTGACTTACTTCAAGAACAAAAAACAACGCAAATTCTTGCTCGCTTACGTACCTATGCGGCAGAGGGCGAGAGAAGAGGAATGGGAGCGTGCGAATGCCGTGGACCTAATGGTTCGCGACGAGTTCGCCAAGGCATTCCCGACCGCACTCACTCGCGCAGGGAAGATGTCGGGCTATTGGGGCACTGCAGAGGCCACCCTGGAATTTTGTCGCGCCGAGCTCAAACTGGTGAGAGACTATGTATGCATAGTAGGCGCACAGCTAAGCCACAAAAGCGTATCAGCAGTTTCATGGTGGATAATTTGAGTACGACTCTGGAGGAGTTGGAACGGGAGGACGTGTGGGTCTACCATACTGAGCGTCAGCAAGCCTGAAGCACATTGAGTTGTGCGCCTGGATGACCCGTCTGCTCGTCCGCGTATCATTTAGGGTAGCGAAAGTATACATCATGTGACGCGCCTCAATGAACATGCCGCCTAATATTCAGCTTGTACCGTGCAACAAGTATCGCAGACAGCGTGAATGATGTATGTCTGAGAGCACACCACCTCTTGTGAGAACGGCGATGTCCGTACCCGTTGAATTCACAGGGCCATTTGCCGAGAGACGTTATAAAGCTTGCCCGTAAACCTGAACGTCGACTTGTCCAGGCTCTCAATGTACCGCCCGGCGGTTACCAATCCGCAAAGACGGGACTACATAGAGCATTATAGCTCTTTAAGGGGGGTATCTCCACGTCCTCCCATCACCGCCTGGGCTCGTGACGTTATGCAGAGCCTAAGTGCCGACAGCGACGACGACGACGTCCCGGACTTGGAGACTGTGATTGGTTCCGAAACATCCTCTCCCAACGAGCCGGAGCTCGCGCCCACTCCGATAATAACCACAGGTTGCGGCACATGTGCATGTTGTGAGTACACCCATTACTCTTGATGCGTATGGGCTATAATCTCTTTCAGGCTTACGCAACCAGGCCGCTCACGCACCCACCACAGCCCAAGGACCCCGCATCACACGTCGCCCAATAGCTTTTGGCCCGGAGTACGTCCTTTCAACACTATAAGCGTGGTTAGTGCTGACAACAAAGAACAGACTCGGAGTTGCACCTCGCGGATGGTTCAGCCAGCTTGTAGCACTCATATCAAGGCAGTTCACCACCACCCTTCGCTTCATGTTTCCATCTCCACCAACTTCGTTCCAGATCATACACACCATGATCGACGCACAATTTCGGCTCCAGAGGACGCATGCAAATGGACCAGGTATTATGTCTCTTACGGACGGAGAGGGTGCGGAAAGGTCACGGGCCGAGCGGGTGCTTAATCACGAGGGAGAAGCAACGACGTGCTTGGCGTGTTTTGAGAACGGGGTATCTTGCACTCATAGTAAATCAGTGTAGAGCGTCGGCCTGTGGCGAGAAAGCGACGACGCCGGTTGAGGTCGTATAAGACGCCATGACTGAATCGGTATATCCTGTCAGCAGAGGCTACCGCAGAATATCTCATCACGCCTCGTTATTCATCATGGCGTGCCTTACTGTACAATGTGGTAAGGGTGGACTGTGAACGTAGGAGACAAACTGGCAACGAGTGCTGAGCACTTCGACGGAAAGATGCACGTTTCTGATCCGTTGATGGTACCGGCCCTCCATATCGCCCTTCCCTTCCACCTCCACCGGTACTGTACCAGCGACTAACGTCGAGCAACTGAACAGGTCGTAAGCCCATTTAACTGGGTCGGGGTACACGCCAGAATGCGATCCTAATGCTGGACGCGAAGGCCTAATGTCGTCGTCAGTTCGTTTTTGGATGATGATCCTGCGCATTACGCACTAGCACGCAGGGCACGACACCTCGCCAACACAACCCTCCCGCGTAACCGTACACACGCACGCCTAACATTTCTTCCGCCGCGGTCCAGCTATACGCTCGCTCGTCGCAGTTGGCCACTGCTGACCTCCTGGCGACGCGTTTCCGCGACCGCGGGTCGGCGTGCGCGTACGGTTGCACCACCCTCCCGGCCGATGTGCATCATGTCTTCGTCGACCGCTCTACATTCGCGCCGGTCCGCGCCCAATACACCGCAGACGTCTGCCGCGAGACGACTAGCCTGCTCGCCGCCGCGGATGTTGCGCCACCCATCCTTCACAAACTCATAGCAGTCGCGCAGGCCCTCTTTCGGAACGAGGGGTTCATTTGGCCACTCTACCACTCTCGCTGTTCCCAAGGCCTCGTCCCGGACGTCTCGCGCCACCTGCAAAGGAGGGACGTGCCACACTTAAGCTCCGTCGACTACAATCGCTTGTCGACGCGGGTTGCTCAGCTGTGGCACGGGTTGTCGATTCGCCTAGCGGGCAGGATTTGGGGGGACCATTTGCGAAGGCGGGCTACGATGGGTGCCGATTGGAAGGAGCGGTGATGTTAGTGGGCGATGTGAGGCTGCTTGCGGAAAGATGTGCTTGTTATCGGTGCCACCGCGACCGCCGCATCCGCTGATGTTTCGCCTCATGGACTGCTTTATTTTACAAATCGTACTTTATGCTATCGCCACTTCTACGCTGTTGGGCTCGAACGAAATACAAAAATTCTATCACAGACAATACAATACGTGGATTTGGCGCAGCAACACTTTGGGGGTGACCTTCTTGTACGTGAATGCTCAAGTATTAGACTATACCTTACAACTTGTTCCTCTTTGGCTTCGGCGAAGGTCTTGGCGCGCTTGTCGGCTTGCGCTTTGCAGGGAGCTTCTTCGCCTTGCCGCCTCCACCGCCGCTACCGCCCTTCTTCAAAACCTGTAACCCCCCTTCTGCCTCTTCGTCATCGATCTCGATGACGTCTCCGCTCATCAGGTGCTGGATCGCCTCCGTAGCCCTTGCCACATGATCGGGATCGCGCTGCGTCAACACATCGAGGAGCGTACTCGACGCTGCTGTGATTGGCGCGGGTCCGGGCATGGCCTCGGCGTCGCGCGTGGCTCCGATGGTCGCGCGCATGACGCGGAAGGCATTCGCAACGTCCAACATGATCGAACGGAAATCCTCACTTGCTCCTGGATCTATAGCGTTCGCCTGGTAGATCGCACGGACGACGCCGATGAGTCCGTAGCGTCCGTTCATTTGGAGCACTTTATCGTACGGAAGATGCCGGATGGCATGCCAGGCCTGCGCGACGAGCATCGTGTAGTTCGCTTCTGGTACCGACGTATATATCTTCGTCGCCAGTCGTAACTTTGAGGCCCATTGGCGGGCGGACTTGATCTCTATAGGTGCTCGCTCGCCGTTCTGTGCCCCTGTTAGTTCCGCAGGGTACGAGACGCATAGACATTCTACCTGGTCAAATGCGACGACTTCGAACCCCACTAGCTCCGTAGCCATCTGTGTTGCTGCTTCGACGTCCACGCCCTCTCTAGTCGGCGAGTCTGACCATAAGAGACCACCCCAACAAAAGACCCGATCCATGAACGATCCCACCGACATTCGATCTTCAACATCGTTGTCTGTCAGGGGCGTGCTCGTCTCGGCATGCTCGTCACCATCTCCGACGAGGTTCCCCGCTGCGTCATTTTCGTCGGACACTGCGCTGCCGGACACACCGTCGTTGTTCTCACCCGTACCCGCATTGCCTTGGGCACCATCAAACACTTGCATTGTCTCGTCGCCGAGCGTGGTGGCAGGTTCGGTCGCGTCGTCGTTGAGCGTGACAAGGGGAGACAGCGCGTCCTGATGACAATCTTTTAGTTACGCGATCGGACCGTTCTCAACGGACAGGACATACCTCTTCAGACACCTCCGCATGCGAGTCCCCCGCGATAGGCTTCGGTCATCAGGCCATGTCGCCCACAACGGCTGAATAGACTCACTTCGCCATTACCCATCGAGCACTTGTCGTCCGCGATGAATGCGTCGTCGGTGATGGGCGCGTCGTCGGTGATGGGTGCGGCATCGGCGGGTGGGCCCTGCTAGCGTTTACGCCTCGGAGTTAGAGCGAGCGATCTCCAGAAACCTGAGCGACATACTTGAGCTAACAAGAAAGCAAGCCGCTTTTCCGCCACTTCCATCTGTGCTCGGGCGATCGCGATTTGAATGTTCTATCCAACGTAGTAAGATGTCGATCGCGATAAATCAGCGACGTGGTCACCTCGTTCATGATCCTTAACGTCTGTGGTAAGGGTCGTGTGGTGGTGGGTTTAGTATAGTATGCGAGCGCGGAGACGAGGTAAGCCTTATATCCTCAGCAACCTACGCGCCGTTGTACGGATCGTCGCGGCCGAACGAACTTGACCGCCATCAGCGAGCAGTCGTATGACTACAACGTGAATCAAGGTTAGCGCCGCCTATCTCGACACGGATACGTACTGACAACGCGCATATCCTCGTCACCTGCGCGATGTAAGCTCGCCGCTCCTACATAGCACGAGAAGCCATGTTAAGAGGCCTTTCATCTGGCGCTGACGAGGCCCAGCGCCGACGTTGAGATGGGGCGGCACGACGGAGCGATGTTGTGTTTCGAAAAAACCACGAGGCGAAGAAGCAGCGCCACAAGCGAGTACACGAGGCGCGCGCATTCTTTCTCACCGCAGTCTCCGCCCACAGTGTCCGAACAGCAAGTGGATTCTGCGAGACGCAGCTATCTCAGCGTCGGCCTGGTGATAGAATCCAAAGAAAGCTCGTTTGCTTATCTGCGGCGCTTATAGGGCTCGTCCGGACCGCGAACAGGCGGTCTCGAAACGAGATATGCAGCGAGCGAGAGATGACCCCACATCATACGCACACCCTACATCTCAGTTCGAAGCGGATGCGACCCTGCGCATCAATGCGCAGCTATCTCATATGAGACTTTAGTATAAGCGTTCCGATATATCCGATAGTAAAAACCACACGGCCAGTCCATAACATACACCTATCAATGCCCTCGCGCCATACTCCACAGCCGTATACATGTCCTGTGCGCGGCGCCGATGCAACGCCTCCATCCGCTCGGCATGTTTTCCTGCGCGACGAGCCGCCACTGCCACCTCCTGCACACGCGCAGCCGACACAAGTCGAGCTTGGAGCGCGTCGCAGAACTGAAATTCCTGCTAGAGACGTAAGATTCATCACCCCATAATTACTCGATATCATATATCATACCTCGTCAGCACTCGAGAAGGTGGGGCCGTTCTTCATACCCTCCTTCATGATGTCTGCTTCTTCCGGAACCTGGGCGTGCCTGCGTGAATACCGTCCTCTTCAGCTTGGTCGATCACGTACCCAAACCTGCTCCGCCCTCCAATCAATAACGCAGTCATGATACTAATGGCATGGGAGGATGAGGAAGATGATCGTTGACCCGGAGATGTAGTAAGTCGACGTCGAAGGGAAGTCGGACGCTGGAACGACGCGTCTAGCTGTCAACCGGCAACCCCCGTGCCCTCGTTCGACGCTGATTGAGACCAACACTTTCGACGGCTATATTGCTAACTCATACATACAACCAGTCGCGTGTTTTATCTGCCTTACCTCAATAGCTATCATCTTCTCTCCACCCATACGCTTCTTGAGTCTCTTCGCTTTGCCAGCTTTCTTCGATTCAGCGTCTACCGCTTGCCCCGGGCCCCTCCTGAGCGCTGAGCGCCAAACTTCGGCTTCCCACCTCGTCCTCGCTTACTACCTGGCGCAGTGCCCGCCTCCTTCGCATGTTCATACCTCGCTTCCCTGTCTAATAACGTCTGTTCCAAGCTCTTCGCTCGTTCTCTACGCGTTTATTGAATAAAAGCACCATCGCGTCAACTCAGACCTCGGACGTTTTCAGCTCTTAGCCCCGTACGATGGACCGGCAGCTCTTAATCTCCTCGACCGCACGCTCTGCAGCTGAAGGTTTCCCCTGTTCCGAGCGGTTATGCCTCCTTGTATACCATCTCGGCTACTCGCCCACAACAGGAGAGTTAGAAGGAGCGAGCGGACGCCTTGCTTCCCCCCTTGGAGTCTTCCGCCCCAAACCATGTCGACAGTTGGTGCTGCAGTGATGAAAGTTCCTTCGTGTCGCTCGCGCGGTTGGAGCCGCGCCCATTGACCCGAAAGCGCACCGGCCAACTTCGAGTTCGGCGTCCAGCTCTTCTCCGTGCCCGACGAGCCCACACCATCTGACCATATTGCACCTGAGGAAGAGTTGAGCGCAGACACATGGCCGTACGATAACCTCGTCGTCGCGGAGGGAAAAGGTAGTCTAGCCCGTCCCCTCACGCGCTCCACCGCCTCTTCTAGGAAACGCGTCCAGACGCCTGGCTTGCCCTTGGCCGCGAAGCTACTTAGCTTCAACGCCAGGTGCAGTCCCGATCTTCTCCAGTTCGGCCGCTACGTCCTATTAATCATCAAGGGACGTACGCACTAGACATCACCGCTCACCTTAATCGGCCCTTTCACGCGTAGGGGACGGGTGTGTGGACCCGATGTTGACGCGCCAACTTGTGAGCATAGCAGAGGGTCGAGGCGATGACGAACTGCTTGGAGGGGCAACGAGGCTACTGTATTCGTCCTTCGCTGGCTCCGGGTACATATGTGCGGGAAGTTGCGGATGAGACTCGCCGGCTAAAGCTTTTTGCGTGACTCCCATTCTCCTGCAATCGCCTGAGCGTGTTGTACGCTGCCGCACAATCTGCGCCTCACCCCCTCAGGAGAGTTGACCCTTTCGTTTCAGAGTAAGCTCCAAAACCAGTACCTGCAACTCACGGGATATGAGCGAAGCTTGACGTTGGGACTGGCGAGCGAACGTATTGGATATCTCGACGCCAATGTCAGAGCGCCGCAGAACACCGTCGTTCAAATCCCGGGATACGGCAGTATGGTCTTACCTCGTGAAGCCTATCAGTAGCATTCCAACTGAATCACTGCATCTACCATCTCTCTGTTCTCGTCTGGAAAGCGATAATTTTGATGACTACGAGGGGCACTCAGGCACCCTGGCTGCCTTGCTCGCGGCATACATGAAGACGGACGAGGATTCAGCAAGACCGGTTAGGGAACAAGTAAAGCGTATACAATGTGCACAGTTCAAGAGATAAAGATGCGATAGATGAAGAGAAAGAGGTATGAAAGGAGATCAAAAACGGAAAGATGGATGGTGTAGTGGCAGAGCTGCAATACTAAGAGTGCTTTGCACAGAGCGCGTCGCGCAGAGGGCGCGATGTCGCGCCGAAAAAGGCCTCACATTCAGGTAACATGCCCTCATTCGGATGCACTACCATCGTCTATGGTGCACGGATGTGTGACGAGCCACGAGCAACATAGCTGGTCCAGAGGTTCACCAGCCCATGTGCGATGCCCATGCGATGTGGCGTTTGACGGACGATCGACCGCCTGGAGGTGAAGAACGCTGCCGCGCTCCTGGGCGGTCCAGCCCAGACACTCGACGTATTCCCCACCCTTCCCCGGCGGTGGAAG